CCCCCCTGTCACTCTTGGCTTTCGTCTTGGAGTGTTTCCTTCCTCTTCGCGAATGAGTCCAACTCTTCCCCCCCCCCCTGTTTCTCTCTTTCCCTCTCCCTCCCCTCCACTGGTCCCACGCTGACTCGTTCTCCCGTCTCTCGCTCGGCCCCACGCTCCCCCTCCTCCGCTTCCTTCTCCCTCCCCCCTCTTGTAGCACGCCGCCGTCATGAAGCGCCTCATCGCCGAGTACCATGCCTCCGGGAAGCCCCTGACCGTTGACCAGTATCTGGTTCTCTTCTTGAAGTTCATCGCGGCCGTCATCCCGACCACCGAGTACGACTTCACCGTTCAGATCTGAGCCACGTCTGTGTGTGCGTGTATGCATATGTATGTGCGTGTGCGTGTGCGTGTGCGTGTGTGCGTGCGCGCGCGCCTGCACCCGCGCAAGAGTAAGACAACAGCTTGATCAAATGGACAAAGAAAAAAAAGAAAAGAAAAGCCCAAGAGCAAATGAGTTCACCACCAGTATCGGTGATGTGTCTACACACAACGACGGGGGTAACATGGATCACCACCACGGGACACCATTTCGCGCCGCGCTGTGCGCCGTGCACCACCTGCCCCCCGTCAGTGGCATCCCTCGCTTTTGTCCCCTCCCTCCGCTCTCCCACTCCCCCTTCTCCCACCTCTGATACATGGTACTTCCGTCGCTCCGAGCATGCGCGCATACGCACATTTGCACCGACACACGGATGGTGCTTCCTCGCCCCACCACTCCCCTTCACATGTCCTCTCCCGCACTCTCCAATGCGTGGGACGCCCAAATAAAACCCGTCTCTATCTTAGCTCAACGATCGAGCAGACACACTGTGGATTTCGCCGAAACAGGAAATGGACAGGGAGGCATGCGTTTGATTGTGTCCATTCACCCCCGCCCCGTACCCGGCCCCAGCGAATGGGCACACACACACACACACACACACACCGACAAGCAAGCGCTCTCGCGTGCACCCGAAGGGAGGAGGGGGGGGGGGGACAGACGTGTCGATCTAAACCAGCCTCCTACTCCCCACACATGGGGCGAGAAAGCTGCTTGATGTCCACCCCCTTCAGGTGGACTGCAGGTCATGGTAGTAGCCGGCCCGCAGACTGTCCATCTGCTCGAGTTCCGTCAGCCGGAGATTAGCCGCCTGGGTGAGGGCCGCGGCATCGGTTTCCGAGGAGAAGAGCACCAGCTTCTGGGCAACGAGGGCAAAGAAGAGCACCGGCCCTGTTTGCGTGAAAGAGCACAAGCAGTCAGTGCAAGGGGTTACAGGGAGAAGGGGACCCAGGGCGGCATAGCTTGAAACAGGAAGCACCGACATCCCCCAGGCAGTCTCGACGTACACTTGCACTCGGGCTCCAGCTCGATCAGCTGCTCCAAGTTGTCCAACTGCTCACGGAGGATGGTCTTGGCGTTGGGGTCCGCCTGGACCTGCGACAGGAGCCAGCGGAGGTAGAACCACGGGCTCTGGTCATTGGGCTCGGTGAAGTTGGCATTGTTGACCAGTTCGAACTCTGTTCGACCGACACCAGCCGAATGGCGGCCAGGAGTGTGGGCACATGGAGGGGAAAAAAAAAGGGCGGAAGGCAACAAACAAAAAGGGAAGGAGACGGAAAGACGGCGAACGGGTCACAAACAGGGGAAGCCCGAAGTCAGCAGATGTACACACCACGGGAAAGGCCACACTTGAAGCGGGCAGCGCCCCACAAACGCACCAGCATCCAGCTGCATCCCCAGCGCCGGGAGCAAGCGGGTACGCAGGTGGAAAGCCGAGTAGTTGGAAAAGTTGTCGGCGAGCTTGCTCCGAGTGAAGTCGAACTCCGCCTGGTATACCTCAGCCAGGCCGGTCGCCCGGTCGGCCTGCGTCAGCCGGGCCAGCTGCGAGACAACAAACCGCCGATAGTCCCAGCAGTGGACTGGGTCGCGTGGCCACACGATCATCATGTCGGGCCAGCAGGAGGTGGCCAAATGGTCGGCAGGGACAGGACGGGGCGGGGGGAGGATGAGCAGGCAGCGACAAATGAACGGCCAATCGGAGAGGGGATGAATGGCGGCACAGGGGAGAGCAGGGAGCTGGGCGCACAATTCCGGTCATCCAGGCGGAGCATCTCCTTGCAGAGGTGCTGCTCCTTCTGCAAGAGGGCCAGCTGCTCCTCGGGAGTGTAGCCCGCTGGCGAGGGGGTTACATTGGTGGCATCGACCGTCATCGGGGCCAGCACGCCGCCCAGGCGCTCGGATGTGGCCCCCTGCGCCGGGATGCCGAGGACCAGACAGCAAATGACCCACACGCGGTGGTGCCAGACCCAGTAGGACTTGGGGAAGGCCCGGATACGGCCAACGATGCCACGGAGCTCCTGTTCGATGAGCTCCTTCCGGGCGTCCATGCTCGTGGCCGGGGCCAGCTCCGGGTAGGTGACCTCCTTGGTGCCAGCAAGCGGGATGTCAAACAGCCGGCAAAAGGCATCCCGGCGGTAATTCCAGGCGGTATTGAGCTCGGGGTTGAGGTCTAGCAGATCATAGGTCACGCGCAGCGAGGTTTCCGGCTCGACCGTCGCGCACTGGGCCTTGCGCTGAAGCACATGCGTGGTTGTGTGAGTGAGTGAGTGAGTGAGTGAGTGAGTGAGTGAGTGTGTGTGTGTGTGTGTGTGTGTGTGTGTGCGTGGGTAAGTGGAGGGGGGAGCGAGGGCCAGAGGGCCAGAAGGTGGGGGATAAGCAGCTGGGAGGGAAGATGGAGTGTCGCAGGGGATATCCCGGCCATGAAGGCCGGGGGCTGAGGCGCACCAAATCGAAGAAGGCCACCGCCACTTCCTGGTAGTTGGCGATCTTCTTCTCGGTGGCCTCGCGCTTAATTTTAGCCGCAGCCGCGGTAAGGCGTTCCCGGCGGACGCCGTGCATGGTGAGAGTGCGGATGGAGGACCAAAAAAAGAACGGAAGAAAAAGAACAACCCCAAGGAGGAGGCGAGATGGGGAGAGGAGGCAAAAGGGCCAAGCAGAGGCACGGGGGACAGAGGGAGCAAGGAGGCCAGAGAGGCATTGCCCTGACCTTTTCCGGACCGTCCACCAAGCCAGCGCCTCTAAGAAGTGTTGCTGGATCGCGCGCATCGCCCCCCGCCCCCCTGCCCGCGGCTCCTCGAAGATGGCGGGTGTGTCAGAAAGCCCATGGATGGTCACATGATTCGAGGCTCGTTTCGGCGGCCCCGACCCCCCCCCCCTTCCCCCTCCCCCCCCCCCCCCCCTCGGCCTGCCCCGCCGCGCCCGGCCTGCACGACATCACCAATTCCCGGGTCTCCGCCCTGGTCGGGGTGGTCCGCTGGTCCGCATCCGTAGACCAAGGGCCCACTGGGAGACTAGCGCCGAGCTCCGTCCCGGGGACGGATGCACATGGACACCGTGAGCTGGTAAGCTCAAGACGCCACCCCCAGCCGAGGGGCTGATCATTAGAGGGATTTCTATTGTATGGCAGGACACCCTCACACGCGAGGGAAGCAGCGTACAGGCAGGCACACCCATGGCAAGCACATGAGAGGGTGCCCCTTGGGCGGGGGCAAAAAAAAAAAGAAGGCTGAGGGCGCCCTCAAAAGAGGGCGAGACCGCCCTCCCCTCCTGATACGGGCAGGGGGGAGGGGGGGGG